ATGCTATAACTAGTACTCAAACAGTACTTTACACTTTGTGTTTCTGTGTTGGTGCAAACTGTTGAAATCTTTACTTAATATATACTAAATTGATCTTCTGTATAAAAAGATAATTGAAAATGAATCTTGATGTGAATAGAATGGGAGAGGGAGTGGGAAAGGGGAGGGTTGCAGGTGGGAGGGAAGTTATTGGGGGGAAATGCCATTGTAATCCATAAGCTGTACTTTGGAAAATTTATTTTTATTAAATAAAACTTTAAAAAAACTTGTATACCCTATAGTTACTGTACAATATTTCAACTCATATTTTCAACATAAAGTGATCAAATAAAAAAAGAAGATACAAAAATATGGAAAATCTTTTATGTTCATGGGTTGGAAGAATCGTTATTATCAAAATGTCCATTATTCCAAAAACAATTTACAGGTTCAATATGATATCATTCAAAATATCAACCATGCTTTTCAGATCTGGAAGAAATGATGCTGAAATTCATATGGAGGCACAGGAGACCCTGAATAGCTAAAGCAATCTAGTACAACAAAAACAGAGCCGGGGGCGTCACAATACCAGATTTCAAGACATGCTACAGGGCAGTAATAATCAAAATATCAGGAAATTGAAGAGACAACTGACAGAATGGGAGAAAATATTTGAAAATTATTCAACTGATAAAGGAATAATAACCAGAATCTACAAAGAGATCAAGAAACTCCATCACAATAAAACAAACAACCCACTTAAATAGAAGGGCTAAGGACATAAACAGACATTTTTTTAAAAGAGGAAATTCAAATGTTCAACAGACAAAAAAATTTTCAGGCTCTCTAGCCATTAGGGAAATGCAAATCAAAACCACTGTGAGGTTTCACCTCACCCTGGTTAGAATTGCTTACATACAGAAATCAACTAACAACAGATGCTGGTGAGGATGTGGAGAAAAAGGCACACTAATCCTCTGCTGGTGGGAATGCAAACTGGTAAAGCCACTGTGGAAGACAGTTTGGAGATACCTCAGGAATCTGAATATAGCTCTACCACATGACCCATCTCTCCTACTCCTCAAAATTTACCCTAGAGAAATTAAAATGGCAAATAAAAGAGCTATCTGTACCTCAATGCTTATTGCAGCTCAACTCACAATAGCTAAGACATGGAATCAACCTAAATGCCCATCAACAGACGACTGGATTAAGAAAATATGGGACATGTACACTGGAATACTACACAGTGCTTAAAAAAAATAATGAAATTTGCATATTTGCAACAAAATGGAGGAATCTGGAAAATATCGTGCTGAGTGAAATAAGCCAGTAACAAAAGGACAAATATCATGTTCTTCCTGATCTGACAACTGACACCTAAAAGGAAACGTGTAGAAGTGAAACTGACACTATGAGAAACAATGACTTGATCAGCCCTTGTCCTGAATGCTGAGGAAAAACTTATTATTGTATTCTTTCTAGTATTTTTTGTTCTACTTAATGCCATTGGTTGCACTCTGTAATTAAAACAGAATTATTTTTAAGTGTTTAAATCCAACTGAAAATTGATCCATTAAAAATAAGAGTGGGTATAAGAGAGGGAGAAAATGTATAGTTCAGCACACACTCCCTTAGACTGACCCTTAAGGTTAAAGCAAAAACTTGCAAGGGACTCCAAATCCCATTATGTTGGCAGGTACCAATGCCATCTTACTAGTTAAAGTGATCGTTTTAAATTCATAACTGATCATAAAGACAGGATTAAGTATCAGTGGGATCACATAAATAAGACCAAGTGTCTGCTAATAATAATAGAATTAAAAAGGAGAGAACCATCCAACATGGGAAGCAGGACACACAGCAGACTCCTAGAATGACAAGTGCCTTAAACATCACTCTGGACTCAATATCTGCCCTTAAGGCATTTGGATCCAGCTAAAAAGCCATTGAATGCATTTCAGGCATGGAAAGCCAAGACACTGTGGGAAAAAAATGACCTAAATGAAAGATCTCTGTGAGATCCCTGGTGGAAAGAAGGGACCATCAAAGAAGGAGGTACTTTCTCTGAAACAAGAAGAGAACTTCCCCTTTGATTATGGCCTTTTCTAAATAATGTCAAAGTTTTTGAACTCAAGAGGCTTCCATAGCCTTGGCAGCTCATGACAAGAGCCTCAGGTTAGCACTGACATCATAATTAAGAGTGTCAATTGTTAAATCAACAGGAATCACTATGCACTTGCTGCTCATGTAGGGCCTCTGCCCTTAATGTGTTGTACTATGAGAATTAACAGTAAAACTAATATTCAAACAGTACTTATACTTTCTATGTCTGTGTGTGTGCAAACTGTTAAAATATTTACTTAGTATACAGAGTATACACTCTGTCAAACACTGCAATGACCAGAACTTGAGAATACCAGACATAGCAAACCTCAGTACTAATGATTCAGACTGGGCTCCTGCTCTGATCCTCTCTAAGGCCATGGGTGCAGGCCAGAGTACTGATACTTAGGGAGAGGTGTGGCAGGCTAAGTGCCATGTACCTGGAATCATCATGGCAGGATCCAGTCTTCAAAAGGAACAACCCTTTACTGTACAAAGGCAATACGGGATAAAAGATCATGGCTTCCCCAGAACAGTGCTAAAATTTATGCTGATCACACTGAGACTGATGCTTAAAATAATGCTATAGCCAGTGTGTATGAGGGAGGAGTGGATCTACAATCTCTAGAGCTCCAGGACATTTTAGGCTATGGAATATCCATAACTAGGAGATGCCACCCATGTCACCAATGCTCTTAGGGTGGTCATGGTCACCTCTGACTCCTGCAGAAGAGCCTGGAAGGGATTTGTGCAGCCTCCTGGCTTCAGGAACATCCTTTGTACTGAATGCTTTTTCTCTGCTAGGGAAGTTTGAGCTGTGTTCCCCTATTGGATCCACCTGTAAACCTTCTGTGTAAAATGTGTGTAAAATCACATATGTGCATGTTCTACTGCTGAAGGTGGACATGTGTACTCCATGCCCAAGGCAAATTTCTTAGCACTTCAACCCAGAGTGCTAGCCTGAGATGCAAGTGGCAGTGGATGATGCCCAGTTTCAACACCCAAGTCTGGTCCATCTTAGGGGTGAGAATGCTGGCAGAGCAGAGAGCCCACCTCTAAAATATGGAATCAAGTGTTGTGTCAGGTGCTTGATGTGCCATGAAAAACAAGAATCTACACATCTGCAAAATGCCATGTCCTTGTGAGAGCTACTATTGAGAATGCTGAGTTAGATGAAGACCTCAGGCTAGTAGAGTTCAGAGACTCCAAGAAGAAAGCACTGACACCACTCACAGGCTATTTAGCTGTCACACTCTAATGGCAAGGTCTTGTGTTCAGTAATTGCAAGAAAGGATGAGTAGGACTCACCACAGGGACATTCTTAAGGCCCCTGGGGTGTCAGGTGGAAGCCCTTCCCATCTGTCAATTCCTCTGCATCTGCTGTGTTTACTAGAAATGAATCAACAGGTTATCAGGTTGAGCTTCTTTATGTGCTCCTTTCTTCCTCCTTCTGAGACCTCAAAATGACCCTTGTACTATCTTTTAATCCTTATCTGTGCTGTATTAACCCCAGAACCACCATTGGCCTAGATAAAGGCACATAGTCCTTAAGGGTTGCAGATAGAATCTTCTCATGTGGAGAGAAATCCAGGGTTTCCAGTCCCTGCTCCTAGTAGATATGTGGTTCAAGCCTTCTGATCCTGCTGTTAGTACTAGATCCCATCCAGCCCAAGCCTGCCACCTTTGTGCCTGTGGTTCCTATTGTGACTTCAAATTTGACACAGCACATGGACCAGTGTCCAGGATCCCGGTGGAAAATCAGTGGTGTTAAACTCTGCTTGATAGAAGCCATCAGCTTCCTCATGCCACAATTACTAGAGAAACTCCACCCTGAAAGGGAGAGAAGCCTCCTGGAACCCTCTAAAACTGCATAATCATTTCTAGCAGACACAAGAGATCCAACCACTTGGGATGTCCCTGAATCATCAGCTTCAACTGGGAGTTGCTGAGAAGAAAGCTTTATTTACTTGTGATAAGGAGAAAATGGTAAGGTGTATTTCCCTAAAGAATCTACTTCCCTGAGAAGCAGTATTCCAGGACTCTGTTAGCAAGGTTTAGGGAGTGTCAGTGTACAGAAAAGTGGTGAGGAGTGCTGTGGGGAGCAACTCGGACTAGACTAAGTTACTGGAATTAAGACTTATTCTATGCATCTGCTCTCCCACAATATGGCGCTGGGAGAGGAGTAAACAGCTTCTACGCAGCTGCCTCCAGTTCGACCAATAAACTGCAGGAGCTGATCCTGCTCCTGATTGGAGGAGAGCAGCGTACTTGGCGTGTGGGTAGCAGAGTTGGGATTGGTGGAAGAGGACTATAAAGGAGGATACAGACAACATGCACCAGGAACATCTAAGGGGAACATCCGGATAACATCTGAGCAGCCCCCGAGAGAGCCGGCCGGTGGTGTGCCGCTCCCCCATGGAAGTGGGGAAAGTGGCAGGGAGAGCCGCCCTTCCACGGAGGTGGGAGGGATCGGCAGCCAACCCGGGAAGAACCAGCAGCAAACCCGGGAAGGGACGAGCAGACAAAAGAACAGCACATGGTCTTGTGTCATTCCTCCACGAATGGGGGAGCAACAGAGTGCTTTGCAATGTAACCTATATTCAGAATGGAGGAAGAGAGAAGCAGTACAGCCCTTCTTATCCAAGCCATAGTTTCATACACTGTGTGTTGAAAGCTCTGGCTCAGAAATACAGCAGCATTCCTTGGTTAACTGATGCTCTGTTCCCAGTGATTACCGTGGTAGCAAGACCAGCCTCCATAGAATATTGTATGAGAAATGAACTCTAAGGAGTAAACTGTTTCAGGATATATGTCCCATTTCCTACATTCCATACCAATGTCTATATCCCACACTCTAGGGTACAATGAATACACTGTGTAATTATCAAAGAATGAGTACAGATAACTTAAACTTCTTCATTTTCCTTTATTTATTTATTATTTATTTGTTTGATAGGAAGAGTTACAAAGAGAGACAAAGGGAGTGGGGAGAAAAGGAATATGCATATTTATCCAAGATGGTGCTGGCAAGCAAGCTCAGGAAATGGTGGCGGATCCAACCTGGCAAAGGATCCTACCTAGCAACAGGCAGCGCTTGGTTATGGCATAAACTGCCCCTTGACTGGATTGGCTACCTTGGCTATATAAGCTGCTGCACCGAAATAAAAAAAATTCTACGAGCTGCTCACCTCTACTCCACTCCCAGTGTCTGTGTCATGATTCCATGCCCCTTGCCCCCATCATGCTTCTCCTCTCAGAATGAATCCACAGAAACACAGAGAGAGAGAATCTTCTATCGACAAATTCACAACCCAAGTTATCACAAAGGTCAGACATGGGCCAAAGCAATGCTAGGATCAAGAAACTTCTTCCAGGTCTCCCATCTAGGTACAAGGACCCAAGGACTTGGGACATCTTTGGCAGCTATCCTAGGCAAATTACTAGAAGTTGGATGGGAAGTAGAGCAGCCAGGACTTTAATTGAGGCCAATATGGGATACTGGTGCTACAAATGTCTGCTTGCCACAACACCAGCCCCTAAATTATTTTGAGGACTCACACCCTTCAGCTCTTTTGTGAAAGCAAGCCTCTGTAAGGGCTATTATGTAAAATTACAAATTAATCTGGAAAACTTACACAGCACATCTTTGCAAAGTTATGGAACAAAACTAAAAGTAATCACCCTTCTCAAAATTATGGCAGAAACACTACTGACCTAGAAAACAGACACTAAGGATAAGTCTACTAGTGATGGGCATTTGGTACATCATGTAACATGTTGTTTAGAGTTACCCCAACCCATACTGCAGTGGCTGTGGTTGGATTCTAGTTCAGCAATCAAATTCACCATCCTGATACTATAGGATTTATCAAATGATGGCTCAAGTGACTGGAAAACTGCCACCTATTTGGGAGAACTAGCTTGAGTTCCTGGCTTCAGGCTTTGACCTAGTTTAGCCCTGGCTACCATATGAATTGTAAATCAGTGGGTGGGAGATCACACTCTTTCTCAAAATCTATCTCTGCTCTTAAACCAAATGAAAAATAAATAATTGAACAAAAATTATTTTAGACTCAAGAAATACATTCAAAAACAAATGAAGGGGGTAAAAAGCTTAATAGTATCTCTTATGGGAATATTCAATGGAAATTCATAGGAAAGGTTAATTTTTTAAAAGATTTATTTGAAAGTCAGAGCTTCACAGAGAGGGAAGGATAGACAGAGAGAGGTCTTCCATCCAGTGGATCACTCTCCAGCTGGCCACAACAGCCAGAGCTGAGCTAACCCAAAGCCAAGAGCCAGGAGCTTTGTTTGGTCTTACCACATGGGTGAAGGGGCTCAAGGACTTGGGCCATCTTCTACTGCTTTCCAAGGCCATAGCAGAAAACTAGATTGGAAGTGGAGCAGCCAGGACTCAAAACGGTGCCCATATGTGATGCTGCTACTTCAAACAGTGGCTTCACTGCTACAGCATTGGCCCCATAAGAGTAATGTTAAAACAGGAATTCTCTACAAAGATTTTCAACCTCATAGATATATGATAGAAAACAGAGAAAAGAAACAATGTATTAATGTGGAGTCCTGGGGCTGGCACTCTGATGCAGTAGGTTAGTTATCCACCTGTGGCATTGGCATCCCATGGGGTACGGTTCTAGTCCTGGCTGCTCCTCTTCCAATCCAGCTCTCTGCTGTGGTGTGGAAAAGCAGGCTGCCTGCACCCATGTGGGAGACTGGGAGGAGGTGCCTAGCTCCGGGCTTCAGATCTGCACAGCTCTAGCTGTTGTGACCATTTGGAGAGTGAACCAATGGATGAAAAGCCTTTCTCTCTGTCTCTCCATCTTACTGTAACTCTACCTCTCAAATACATAAAATCTTTTAAAAAAATGTGGAGTTCTGATGTAAAGGAATAAAAATCTAGTTGAAAGATTGATAAAACAGCACATTTTTGTTCAAATACCATGTTAGAACTAACCCCTGCACCTAAAATCTGAACCAAAACACTAGTTCAGTGAAAACATGGATTTAACATCTGCTTAACTGTTATTTGTAACACATATAAGAAGCTATAAGTTGTTTGTATAATGTTTGTCATAAAGATCTAATGATTTCTGCTAGCTTGAAAAATCAACTAAAATTCAACTGAACACATAAAACAAGATTACTTATGATATTAAACCACTGTGAAGGACCTAAAAGACAGAATAAAAAAGCAAATTGATGAGGATGGGATGGATAAATGATATCATCTGGTCTTAGAAATGAAAGCTGCATTCACATTGCCAGACATCAGGGACTTCCTGGATGAGATTCTGTCCATTGGACTGCAGGAGGAGAAGCCTACAAGCTGGCGAGGAAATACAATGAAGCAGCCACAAGGCTGGGCCATCTCTGAAAACTGCTATGTTTACTGAGGTGATGGCAGTTTCTAGGTGGTGATGGCTTCCAGCACTATCATGATGGAAGTCTCCCTAGAGGTAACCAAGAAGGCTTTCAGAACCAAGGTGGAGACAGTGGTGGAGATGACTACCAAGGAGTTCACCATCAGTGTAGTTAATGAATACAACCAGATCTGCTGGGTCAACAATAGCCAGAGTAACAAGAACTCCAAAAATTAAGGCTGTTGCAATTTGGAAACCACAGCTTTCCAAAGGCATTACAGCCAGGCAACCTACAATCTATATGAATTTCATGGTGAGCAATGAGAGTTGAATTCTGGTATTCTGAGTAATTATATCCATAAAATTAATCCTCATGTGAATTCTCTTATGTTTGAAGAGGTGTGATTTACATCAAAAGGGTTTTTTTTTTATTTTTTGACAGAGTGGACAGTGAGAGAGAGTGAGAGACAGAAAGGTCTTCCTTTTGCCGTTGGTTCACCCTCCAATGGCCACTGTGGCTGGCACGCTGTGGCCGCCGCACCACACTGATCCAAAGCCAGGAGCCAGGTGCTTCTCCTGGTCTCCCATGCAGGTGCAGGGCCCAACCACTTGGGCCATCCTCCACTGCACTCCCGGGCCACAGCAGAGAGCTGGCCTGGAAGAGGGGCAACCGGGACAGAATCCGGTGCCCTGACCGGGACTAGAACCCGGTGTGCCAGTGCTGCAAGGCGGAGGATTAGCCTATTGAGCCACAGCACCAGCTCAAAAGGGTTTTCTACACTTGTTATCCTCCTAAGTTTCTCCCTTGTGTAACTGTGAGGGAAATTCTGTGTGAATTCTCTGATGTCTTAGGAGTTAAAATTAGTAGCAAAACGCTTTCCCACAATCATTACATTCATGAGGTTTCTCCCTTGTATGAATTATCTGATGAAGAGTTTTGACTTACAACCAAAAGATTTTGCATAGTCATTACATACAGAAGGATACTCCTTAACTGAATACTCAGATGCATTATGAGGTTAGATTTCTGGCCAAAGGCTTTTTCACAATCATTGCATTCATAAGGTTTCTGCACTGGGGGAATTCTCTGAATCATAATGAATTGTGAGTTCTAGCCAAAGGCTTTTCCACAGGGATTAGATTTATAAGGCTTATTCCCTGTGTGAATTCTCTGATGTGATCTGAGGTTTGAATTCTGGCCAAGGCTTTTCAAGTCATTACATTCATAAGGTTTCTCACCTGTGTAAATTCTGTGACATATGATTTGCTGTGACTTACTGGCAAAGGATTTTCCACAGTCATTGCATTCATGAATTTCTCCCTTGTGTGAATTCCTCAATATTTTTAAGAGTTGTGACTTACTAGCAAAGGCTTCTCCAGTCATTACATTATAAGGTTTCTTCCCTGTGTGAATTCTCTGATGATTGATGAGTTGTGACTTCTGGCTAAAGGCTTTTCCACAGTCATTACATTCATAAGGTTTCTCACCTGTGTGAATTCTCTGATGTTTGATGAGGTCTGACTTATGGCCAAAGGCTTTCCCACAGTCAGTACATTCATGAGGTTTCTCACCTGTGTGAATTCTCTGATGTCTGAGGAGGACTGACTTCCTGCCAAAGGCTTTTCCACAGTCAGTACATTCATGAGGTTTCTCACCTGTGTGAATTCTCTGATGTTTGTTGAGGTCTGACTTATGACAAAAGGCTTTTCCACAGTCATTGCATTCATAAGGTTTCTCACCTGTGTGAATTCTTTGATGCACTACAAGATATGACCTCTGGCCAAAGGCTTTTCCACATTCATTACATTCATAAGGTTTCTGACCTGTATGAAATCTCTGATGTTTGATGAGGTATGACTTCTGGCCAAAGGCTTTTCCACAGTCATTACATTCATAAGGTTTCTCCCCTGTGTGAATTCTCTGATGTGTGATGAGTAGTGACTTAGCAGCAAAGCCTATTCCACAGTCATTACATTCATAAGATTTCTCCCCTGTGTGAATTCTCTGATGTGTGAGGAGGACTGACATCCTGCTAAAGGCTTTTCCACATTTATCACATTCATAAGGTTTCTCCCCTGTGTGAATTCTCTGATGTTTGTTGAGGTCTGACTTATGGCCAAAGGCTTTTCCACATTTATCACATTCATAAGGTTTCTCACCTGTGTGAATTCTCTGATGCACTACAAGATATGACTTAAGGCCAAAGGTTTTTCCACATTCATTACATTTGTGAGGTTTCTCCCCTGTGTGAATTCTCTGATGTTTGATGAGGACTGACTTATAACCAAAGGATTTTCCGCAGTCATTACATTCATAAGATTTCTCCCTTGTGTGAATTCTCTGGTGTTTGATGAGGTATGACTTCTGGCCAAAGGCTTTTCCACTGTCATGACCTTCATAAGATTTGTCCCCTGTGTGAATTCTCTGATGTGTGATGAGTAGTGACTTAGCAGCAAAGGCTATTCCACAGTCATTACATTCATAAGATTTCTCCCCTGTGTGATTTCTCTGATGTGTGAGGAGGACTGACTTCCTGCTAAAGGCTATTCCACAGTCATTACATTCATAAGATTTCTCCCCTGTGTGATTTCTCTGATGTGTGAGGAGGACTGACTTCCTGTTAAAGGCTTTTCCACAGTCATTACATTCATAAGGTTTCTCACCTGTGTGAATTCTCTGATGTTTGTTGAGGTCTGACTTATAAACAAAGGCTTTTCCACAATCATTACACTCATAAGGTTTCTCACCTGTGTGAATTCTCTGATGTGTCAGAAGGACTGACTTCCTGCTAAAGGCTTTTCCACAGTCATTGCATTCATAAGGTTTCTCACCTGTGTGAATTCTCTGATGTTTGTTGAGGTCTGACTTATAAACAAAGGCTTTCCCACAATCATTACACTCATAAGGTTTCTCACCTGTGTGAATTCTCTGATGTTTGATGAGGTCTGACTTCTGGCAAAAGGCTTTCCCACAGTCATTACATTCATAAGGTTTCTCCCCTGTGTGAATTCTCTGATGTTTGACGAGGTCTGACTTCTGGCCAAAGGCTTTTCCACATTCATTACATTCATAAGGTTTCTCCCCTGTGTGAATTCTCTGATGTTTGATGAGTTGAGACTTACTAGCAAAGGCTTTTCCACATTCATTACATTCATAAGATTTCTCCCCTGTGTGAATTCTCTGATGTATGGTGAGGACTGACTTCCTGCTAAAGGCTTTTCCACAGTCATTACATTCATAAGGTTTCTCTCCTGTGTGAATTCTCTGATGTCTGATGAGTTGTGACTTCTGGCCAAAGGCTTTTCCACAGTCATTACATTCATAAGGTTTCTCCCCTGTGTGAATTCTCTGATGTCTGATGAATTGTAACTTAGCAGCAAACGCTTTTCCACAGTCATTACATTCATAAGGTTTCTCCACTGTGTGAATTCTCTGATGATTGTTGCCTTGTGACTTACTAGAAAAGGCTTTTCCACATTCATTATTTTCATGAGATTTCTCCCCGATGTGAATTCTTTGATGCGTTATGAGGTTTGTCTCCTGGCCAGAGGCTTTTCCACAGTCATAAAGTTTATGAGATTTCACCTCTGTGTGAATTTTCTGATGTATGATGAGGTATGATTTCTTGAAAGTAGCTTTTCCATGTTCACTATTTCTCTTTTCAATAATCAGTTTTGGAATATGGCTTAAACTTAAATTAAGTGTTTTTCTTAATTCAGCTCTCTTGCAAGTTGATGTCTTATTATTTTTCATTACATTCTGATTTAGATTTTTGTCCTGACTTTCCTGGTTGATCCTAGGCAGGCCATCCCTTTTTATGGACACTGAAAAAATTCAAAAAAAAAAAAAATCACTGAATCACATATAACTATTTCTTCCAGTATATTTATTTAAAGGGAATGAAGTTACTTGTTATCCAAGTGGCATAAGATTTTAACAAAATCAGTACAACATACTAATTTATGACCGTTATATTGTTTTTTTCTCCCTAACACATGGATATATTAATTTCTTCCAATACATATCCCAAAGTTCTTCATAATCTTGTTTACTACCTGAATTTTTTTTTTCAAAGTATGGCAGAATGGCTTTTGTGGCAACATGTGTTAAGTCACTGCTTGGGATGCCTGCATCCAAAACAGGCTACTCTGCTTCCAATACATCTGCTTATGTAAACTGTAAGGCAGCAAATGATGGTTCATGTGCTTGATACCACATAATACATAAGAGAAAACTAGAGGAATCCCAGGCTTTTGGCTTCAGACTTGTCACACTTAATTGTAGGCATCTGGGGAGTGAGCTAGTAGAAAATCTCCTCTCACTGACTTTTTGCTGTACACAGATGAAAAAAGTATATGTGATTGTAAAGAATGGACAAATATTTAGTAAAAATATTTATCCATTGTCTAGCAACCAAGTTTTCCCTATTCTTTTTCCTAGTTTATTTTTTATAAAAAATTGTGTATTTTGTGCTTCTCTGATATTGAAAGTATAAATATGGGAAGTTTTATTAGATCATTCACTTGCAGGTGCAAAAGAGTGAAATACATCTTTAAGCAGGAGCACATTTAAGGGACAAGATTTGAATCTATGGCTGTCTCATGTTCATTCTTCACTGGGAAATGGCATTTGTGGGATTTTTCAAATGAAAAACTGTTTTATTTGCACTCTATAACAGCAGACTCATATTCCTAAGGAAACCTGAACATCTTCGGTTTCTCAGAACTACAGCAGGTACAGAAAAATTCCAATGTACCATCTTGGGTACAGACTTATGTTGGGTATAGACTTATCAGAATTGTTTCTGCAACCCAGGTGTGTTTACTTTTTTTAAAAAAGTGTTTTCTAGTTCATTATGAAATTACCATCCTTGGTTATCTCCTCTCAATTCTTTCTATAAACACTCCTTTGTGATAATTTGAGTTTCTAAGGCTCTTGATCAGTTTTCTCTTATTTTCATAGAAAACTTCATTTCCTATGCCTTTCACATCTTTTTTGTTGTTTTTCAATGATAATGAAAAATTAGAAAATTCATACTTCAAGCTCTACTCAAACAAATATGAAACCACTGGGGCTGGCACTGTAGCACAGCAGGTTAACACCCTGGCCTGAAGTGCTGGCATCGATATGGGCACCAGTTTGAGACTGAGCTGCTCCACTTTCAATCCAGCTTTCTGCTATGGCCTGGGAAAACAGTGGATGATGGTCCAAGTCCTTGGGCCCCTACACCCACGTGGGAGATCTGGAGGAAGCTCCTGTCTCCTGGCTTCAGATCAACACAGCTCCGGCCATTGCATAAAATTGGGGAGTGAAGTATTAGATGGAAGACCTCTTTCTCTCTGGCTCTCCTCTCTCTCTGTAACTCTTTCAAATAAATAAATACAATTTTAAAAACATATAAAAATATGAAAACATGAAGTTACTTGACCTTGGGTAACTCAGAATCTCATGACTTTTTTTTTTTACAGGCAGAGTTAGTGTGAAAGAGAGAGAGACAGAGAGAAAGGTCTTCCTTTCCATTGGTTCACCAGCCAAATGGCTGCTATGGCCAGTGTGCTGCGCCGATCTGAAGCCAGGAGCCAGGTGCTTCCTCCTGGTCTCCCATGCAGGTGCAGGGCCCAAGGACTTGGGCCATCCTCCACTGCCCTCCCAGGCCAAAGCAAAGAGCAGTACTGGAAGAGGAGCAATGGGGACAGAATCCAGTGCCCCAACTGGGACTAGAACCCAGGGTGCCAGTGCTGCAGGCAGAGGATTAGCAAAGTGAGGTGCAGTGCCAGCCTCTCATGACTTTCTTAATGAGTCTAGAATCACTGGTTTTCATGCTTAGCTCCATGATTTTCATGTTTAGTTCCATAATTGCTGACATTACAGTATAGAGGCTTACTCCTGACCATCTTGTAACATTTACTTACTTGAGAATCAGAGATACAGAGAATGAGACACAAAGAGAATGAAACAAGGGGTTGTCAGCCACTGGCTCAATTCTCAAATGTTTCCAACAACTTATCATTTTCTTATTTATCTGAGAGTCACAGAGGAAAAAAAAATAAAAAAAGAGACAAAGAAAGAGAAAGCATTTATTGGTTCAGTCCTGAGATGCAAAATAGCAAGTTTCCTGCCTGGGCAAAAACATGATTGGAAACTCAATCTGAGTGATGAGTAAATAACAAAAGTTACCAAGTTAATGAGCACAAAAGGAATTAATAACCTGATGAAGGAAAGTGTATTGAAGAAGAAATTAGCATTTGAGGAATGTATCTAAACTAGAAAAATGCCTTAGTAACATCAGAAGAGGATTGGAAGGGTTTTGTTTTGGTTTGGTTTGGTTTTTTGAAATCAAAGAACATCTTCACCCAAGAACAAAAGAATTGGTGAAATACTGGTACCCCTAGATACTCTGTGTCTGAGTTTCTGGTGCACAAAAGCAGCTGTCACCAGGAGTAAGACTTGGTAATAATTCATGGAAAGAGCACCAGTCAAGACCTGTTGCACTCTTTCTGCCTTGGCCCCCCTGCCCATTATGTGCAAACTGACCTGGAGGGCTCTGATTTAGACATTCTTCCATCATCCATGGCTCTGCACCTTGCTCCAACTTGACGATCAAGTCAGGTTTGCTAATGCATTGTCCTATTAATGGAAACAATATAAGACTTTGTGAAATCTATCTTGGGTTAATTAAAGGAGTACAGCTTGGTCTAAGAGCTATGCAACAGATGTTTGAATATGAATCCTTTCCTCAATGGCAGGTACTCAGATTATTCATGGACTTAAATTCTATACCTGCCCATTATTAAATTTTATGAAGTGTTCACTTATTTGTCAAATAGCAAGAAAATATTACCATTCAGCTTGTGATGGAAGTCACTCACCCAAGGAGAACAGACTGCTGTAAGTCTCTAGCATCACATCCTTGTACAGGATTTTCTGAGCTTTGTTCATATTCTGCCATTCTTCCCAGGTGAAGTACACAGCAAGGTCTTCAAATGTTATCATCACCTGTGATAGAACACTTTTGATCAACATATCAATTCTGTCACATAAAGATATTGACCATTGTATATTTTCTATATGGGTATGAAGGAGGAAGAAAGGACATGGTTTCTTTTTTTTTTTTTTTTGAAAGAGTTATACAGAGAGAGAAAGAGAGGCAGAGGCAGAGAGAGGGGGGGGGTCTTCCATCTGCTGGTTCACTCTCCAGATGACAACAATGGCCAGAGCTGTGCTGATCCAAAGCCAGGAGCCAGGTGTTTCTTCTGGGTCTCCCACAAGGGTGCAGGGACCCAAGCACTTGGGCCATCTTCTACTGCTTTCCCAGGCCATAGCAGAGAGCTGGATCAGAAGTGCAGCCACTGGATCTCAAACTGGCATGCATATAGGATGTCAGCGCTGCAGGTGGTGGTTTTACCCACTATGACACATCACCAGCCCTAAGAATCTGGTTTAATCTTAGGCTTGCTGAGCATTGGGCAGCCACACAGAATCATTCAACAGGGAGTCAATTCTCTACTCTAAAGGCTGTAAAAATTACCCAAAGGAGGGAAACAGGAGTTTCAGGTCACAAACAGCCAGAATCTGTCAAGGGAGATTGCACAGCAGGCTGAAAGAGGCACAATATTGACTCTTAAATGAGCAATGCTAAGGAGAAGAATGTAGAATTATTCAGGGGAAAAGACAAGAAACCTTCATTGAAGCTATGAGGGGAATGAACAATGCTTGCAGCCCATATGTATGCCAGTTTGTGTATTAGTTGCTCCACTTCTGAGCCAGCTCCCTGCTATTGCTCCTGGGAAAGCAGCAAAAGATGGCACAAGTATGTGCACCTCTGCCACCCACATGGCAGACCTAGATGCAGCTCTTAGATTCAGCCTGGCTCAACCTTGGCCATAGTAGCCATTTTGAGGAGTGAATCAATCGATGGAAGATCTCATAACTATTTATTTCAAATACACAAATAAATATTTAAAAGTTACTTATTTGAAAGGTAGAGTTCCAGAGAGAGAGAGAAATAGAGATCATCCATCTGCTTGTTCACCCCCAAATAGCTGCCATGTGGAGCTGGGCCAATCTGAAGCCAGCAGCCAGGGGTTTCTTCTGGATCTTTTACATGGATGCATAAGCTTGGACTTGGGACACATTCCACTGTTTTCCCAGACACATTACCATGGATCTGGATTGGAAATGATACAGCTGAGACATGAACCTCTGCATGAGATATACATCAACTTTCCCAGGTTCTCTATGCACTTATTCACAAAGTTTCCTGGTATAATCAGTAGTGTAAACAATAGTCTACCCTGGATTCCTACCGAATTTAAACAGGGTACTCAATACAAATTTTTGATCAGTTCCAAAATATATATCAGAAGAAAAATAATTTACATAGTACTGCCTAATTTCCAACAGTCAAATGCAGTCAAAGAATCTGACAGTTTGAAGAGATAGTCTAAAAGAATGAGTAATAAAATATAATTCATAAGTCAGAACTTGGCTAGGGAAAATAGGAATTCATAGATTCCCAAAATAAACTAATATGGCCTGATAAATGGAAACTCCATGTCTTCATGTATTAAATTTCATTATCTTAAAAATCTACCCAAAATGGATGTTTCTTCTGCATATTCTACATGAGTGCATAAGCTAAAGGACTTGGGACACATCCCATTGATTTCCCAGACACATTACCATGGAGCTAGATTAGAAATGATGCAACTGAAACATAAACCATTGCCCATATGGGAGGCTGGCAACACAGGTGGAGGCTTTAATTGCTACATCACAGCACTGGCCCCAATAAATCTTTTTAAAAATCTAGATAAAGCAGAAAAATGCAAAAGGTATAAACTACACTTGTATATATGTATATATTTCTAAAAAGTGCATAATATGATCCATTTGTAAATCTAAAATTTATTTTTAAATGCTATAATTAAAAAAAAAGAAAGACACTGATTCTTATTCTCAACAGTATGAGATATACATCAACTTTCCCAGGTTCTCTATGCACTTATTCACAAAGTTTCATAGGTGTAATCAGTGGTGTAAACAATAGTCTTATCCTGGGACCCTACTAAATTTAATCAGGGTACAAAATACAAAGTTTTGATAAGTTCCAAAATATGTATCAGAAAAAATAGTTTACTTGGTAGATCTCACTTTAACTATAGTATTGCCTAATTTCCAATAGTCAAGTACAGTCAAAAATCTGACAGTTGGAAGAGATAGTCTAAAAGAGTAATAAAATATAGTTCTTAAGTCATAACTGGTTAGAGAAAATAAGAATTCATAGATTCCCAAAGTAAATTAAGATGGCCTGATTAATGTAAACTCAATGTCTTCATGTATTAAATTTTATTATATTAAATGTCCATCCAAAATGGATGTAAATCTATGACTGTATACCATCAAATAATTAGATAACATTGGGGAAACCCTGCAAAACATTGGCATGGAGAACACTTCTTGGAAAAAACCCCAGAGGCACAGGCAATTAAAGCCAAAACTGATAAATGGGATTACATCAAATCGAGAAGCTTCTGTACTGCAAAAGAAACACTCAACAAAGTGAAGAGGCAACCTACAGAATGAGAGAAATTATTTGCAAACTATGAAACTGATAAAGAATCAATTACTAGAATAGATAAAGAGATCAAGAAACTCAACAACAACAAAACAAACAACCCAGTTAAGAAATGGGGAAAGGACTTAAACAGGCATCTTTCTCTTTTTTAAAAAAGATTTTTATTATATTTTATTTGAAAGAGCTACAGGGAGACAGAGAGAGAGAGAGAGGATTTCCATGGCCAAAACAGCCAGAGCTTCACAGATCCAAATCCAGGAGCCAGGAGATTCTTCCAGGTCTCCCACATGGGTGCAGGGGCCCACAGACTTGGGCCACCTTCTACTATTTTTCCAGGCCATAGCAGAGAACTGGGTTGGAAGTGTAGCTATCAGGTCTCGAATTGTCCATATAGGATGCCAGCACTGCCAGAAGCAGCTTTACCCATTATGCCACTGTGCCAGCACCCAAACTGGCATTTTTCAAAAGAGGAAATCCAAATGGCCAATAGACACATGAAAAAATGCTCAGGATCATGAGCTGCCAGGGAAATCAAATTAAAACCACAAGGAGGTTTCATATCCTCATTACAATGGCTCTCATTAGAAATCAACAAACAAATGCTGACAAAGATGTGGGAAAAAAGGTACCCTAATTCACTGTGGGTGGGAATGAAAACTGGTAAAGCCACTATCCATAGACAATATGAAGATACCTCAGAAATCTGAATATAGACCAGTCATATGACCTAGGCATTCTACTTCTGGGAATTTACCCAAAGGAAATGGAATCAGCATATAAAAGAGTTTTCTGTACCCTCATGTTTATTGCAGCTGAATTAACAATAACTAAGATATGAAATCAATACAAATGCCTTTCAATTGAAGACTGGATAAAGAAGTTATGGGATATTGACACCATGGAGTAATACACAGTGTTAAAAACAAGAACAAAAAAAAAATTGAGTTGCTTGCAGCAAAATGGATGAAGCTGGAAAATATACTGAGTGAAATAAGCCAGTCCCAAAAGGACAAATATATTGTTCTCCCTGACCTGTGATAACAAATAGAGCACCTAAATTGTAATCTATAGAAGAGAAATTGACATTTTGACTTTCAACAGCCCTTTTCTTGACTGCTGAGGAACAGTTAATTTTTTTTTGGTACTATTTGTTGAGCTCTTATGTGTATAAAGCTAATTAAAAAACAGATGTTAGTAAAAATTCAGACTGGGAAGAGGAGAGGGAGGAGGAAGAAGAGTGAGAGAGTGGGATGGTGGGTACAGTGGGAAGAATCAACATGTGCCTAAAGTTGTAATTATAAAATATATCAAATTAGTATTCTTTAGATAAATGTTTTCTGGGGAAAAATTATTACATTAGACTTAATTAATAAAAAGCACTTTACTCCAACTTTCACCATTTGCAAATTAATTTATCTGTTAAATCTGGAAAAATAAATGGCACCTCATGACAGATTACTAATATCTTAGTGTTATATGGCATCTATTATGTCTACAATGCCTCATATCTAATATTAACATATCTGATGCCTCTCAATAAATGACATTTCTTGGCTATTACAAGCATAGCAAATGTGTTTTGCTCAAAGCTTTTTGAAAAGCCCCTCAGGCTCAGTTTGCTTTCACCTTGAAAAGACATTTCTTCTAGGGTATACATGGGCACCTCAATGAGACTGGCATCAGACACAATTTTTACAAAGAATTTAACTGCACCCAACTTTTATTAGGAGCACAAGCATACATCCTTACTGAAGGAGACTATTTGACACACTTGTGAAGAACATACAAGGCTAATACCTTACAGTGCTTCTTGGGTTATGGTGCAATGCATGCCTCATTTCAAAAATTAATTGTCACTAATACTACAGATCAGCCCATCTTTTATGGGACCCTCTCCAATGAAAGGTATACTAAAATCAGTCAAAATAAATTCTATAGGTGCTATCCTTAGTGGTCTCTGTGTATTCTCCATTCTAGTGGCTCACATGGCTTCTAGATTACCTGGGACAAATGTGAAGTCCATTAGTTCTCAAGGCCCACCCATAAAAGGGACTTTGTACCAGATGGGTTCTATATCCTTGAACTACAAGAATACTATCATAGCATTAATGCTCCAAACTGATTCAGCTTCCTGCTAATGTGTTTAGGAAGGCAGCACAGGATGGCCCAAATGCTTGGGCTATTGAACCCATGTGAGAGAACTGGAAGAAGCTCCAGTCTCCTGACATTAGGGAATTCTCTCAAACTCCTTGATGAGACCAGTATTACCTCCATTCCAAAACCAGAAAAAAAATATACAACACAGAAAATATAGAACAATACCACCAATGAACATAGATGTAAAAATCCTCTTCAAAAGTACTTGCTAATTGAATCCAACAACACATAAGAAAGATCACTCACACAGACCAAGAAGGATTTATCACTTTGTATGAGGGAATGGTTCAATATATACAAAACAATTAATGTGATATATCACATTAACAAACTGAATGAAAACCGTATGATGATTTCAATAGATGCATAAAAAGTACTTGATAAAACACAAAATGCTTTCATTATAAAAATTGTAAACATATTGGGTGTATAAAGAACATTACTTAACAAAATCAAGGCAATATATGGCAAATGTTCAACAGCATCATATTGAATGAGAAAACTTGGAAGCATTTCCACTAAGAACTAGAACCAGATGAAGCTGCTCACTCTCACCACTGATATTCTCAAAGTTTTAACCAGAGCAACAATAAAAGAAAAGGAAATTAAAGAAATACAAATTAGAAAAGAGAAACTAAAAGTATCCCTGTTTGCAGATAACGTGATCTTATATATAGGGAAAACAAAAGACTCCACAAAGAGACTATAGGAATACATGCATGAATTAGAAAAGAATAAACAAAATTGAAACCAATAAAAGAACACATAAAAAAATCAGTGAAAGGAGTTGTTTTTTAAAAAACAATAAACAAAATTGATACATCACTGGTGCAACTAACAAAAAAAAGAACCAAATCTATAAAATCAGAGATGAAAAAGGAAATGTAACAGTTATAAAAAGAATCATCAGAAATTATTGCAAAGAGCTGTATGCCAACAAACTAGGAAACCAAGAAGAAATGGATAGAGTCCTAGTAAAATACAATCTACCAAAATTAGTCATGAAGATACAGAACATCTAAAGAGGCCAATAATCAAGATGGAAACTGAATCAGTAATAAAGACCCTTCAAAAAAGCAAAGTCCAGGCCAGCGCTGTGGCTCAATAGGCTAATCCTCCATCTGTTGTGCCGGCACCCCAGGTTCTAGTCCCGGTCAAGGCATCGGATTCTATCCCGGTTGCTCCTCTTCCAGGCCAGCTCTCTGCTGTGTCAGGAGTGCAGTGGAGGATGACCCAAGTCCTTGGGCCCTGCACTCCATGGGAGACCAGGAGAAGCACCTGGCTCCTGCCTTTGGATCAGCACGGTGCGCTGGCCGCAGCGTGCCAGCTGTGGCAGCAATTGGAGGGTGAACCAACGGCAAAGGAAAACCTTTCTCTCTGTCTCTCTGTCCACTCTGCCTGTCAAAAAAAAAAAAAAAAAAAGTCCAGAACCAGACGGCTTCCCTGCTGAATTCTACCAGACTTTTTTTTTAAAGATTTATTTATTTATTTGAAAGTCAGAGTTACACAGAGAGAGGAGAGGCAGAGAGAGAGAGAGGTCTTTCATCCAATGGTTCACTCCCCAACTGGCTGCAACAGCTGGAACTGCACTGATCCAAAGTCAGAAACCAGGAGCTTCCTCTGGGTCTCCCACACTGGTGCAGGGACCCAAGGACTTCAGCCATCTTCTATTGCTTTCTCAGGCCATAGCAGAGAGTTGGATCAAAAGTGGAGCAGCCAGGTCTCTAGCCAGCGCCCATATGGGATGCCAGTACTTCAGGCCATGGTGTTAAAGTGCTGCACCACAGCACTGGCCCCTCCACCAGACATTTAAAGAAGACTTTTGGAACTTATAAGAGTTTGGTGAAGTGGCAGGATATTTAGGTAACACAAAAAATCAATACACAGACAATGCCATGCATGACAAAAAACTTGTAAGATCAGTATCATTCACAATAGCGCTAAAGAAAATCAAATACTTGAGCCGGCGCCGTGGCTCAATAGGCTAATCCTCCACCTTGCGGCGCCGGCACACCGGGTTCTAGTCCCGGTCGGGGCGCCGGATTCTGTCCCGGTTGCCCCTCTTCCAGGCCAGCTCTCTGCTATGGCCAGGGAGTGCAGTGGAGGATGGCCCAGGTGCTTGGGCCCTGCACCCCATGGGAGACCAGGAAAAGCACCTGGATCCTGGCTCCTGCCATCGGATCAGCGTGGTGCGCCGGCTGCAGCAGCGGCCATTGGAGGGTGAACCAACGGCAAAGGAAGACCTTTCTCTCTCTCTCTCTCACTGTCCACTCTGCCTGTCAAAAAAAAAAAAAAAAAGTCCAGAACCAGACGGCTTCCCTGCTGAATTCTACCAGACTTTTTTTTTAAAGATTTATTTATTTATTTGAAAGTCAGAGTTACACAGAGAGAGGAGAGGCAGAGAGAGAGAGAGGTCTTTCATCCAATGGTTCACTCCCCAACTGGCTGCAACAGCTGGAACTGCACTGATCCAAAGTCAGAAACCAGGAGCTTCCTCTGGGTCTCCCACACTGGTGCAGGGACCCAAGGACTTCAGCCATCTTCTATTGCTTTCTCAGGCCATAGCAGAGAGTTGGATCAAAAGTGGAGCAGCCAGGTCTCTAGCCAGCGCCCATATGGGATGCCAGTACTTCAGGCCATGGTGTTAAAGTGCTGCACCACAGCACTGGCCCCTCCACCAGACATTTAAAGAAGACTTTTGGAACTTATAAGAGTTTGGTGAAGTGGCAGGATATTTAGGTAACACAAAAAATCAATACACAGACAATGCCATGCATGACAAAAAACTTGTAAGATCAGTATCATTCACAATAGCGCTAAAGAAAATCAAATACTTGAGCCGGCGCCGTGGCTCAATAGGCTAATCCTCCACCTTGCGGCGCCGGCACACCGGGTTCTAGTCCCGGTCGGGGCGCCGGATTCTGTCCCGGTTGCCCCTCTTCCAGGCCAGCTCTCTGCTATGGCCAGGGAGTGCAGTGGAGGATGGCCCAGGTGCTTGGGCCCTGCACCCCATGGGAGACCAGGAAAAGCACCTGGATCCTGGCTCCTGCCATCGGATCAGCGTGGTGCGCCGGCTGCAGCGGCGGCCATTGGAGGGTGAACCAACGGCAAAGGAAGACCTTTCTCTCTCTCTCTCTCACTGTCCCTCTCTCTCACTGTCCACTCTGCCTGTCAAAAAAAAAAAAAAAAAAAAAAAAGAAAATCAAATACCTTGGAATAAATTTAACCAAGGAAGTGAAAGATATCTACAATGAAAATTACAAAACATTCAAGAAATAGAAGACATAAAAAAGTGGAAAAATCTTCCATGTTCATATTTACATTGTATCAATTTAAAAAAATAATATTAGAAAAAAAAAGAAGACCTGAAATCAGATTTCTGATTCATCACTAATAAAAGTATTATTCTTCACTTCTGGCTGACTGTATTTAGTTTTATATTTATTTATTTTATATTCTTTAAAAAGACAGATAAATTTAATGTCACCATTCCTAACAAAGCCATCCGGAGTCATTCTTTTAGAACCATTTTCTACAACACTATTAATTTATCATGAATTTATATCCATATCTTCTAAAAAATATGCTATGTATCCTAGAGAAGGGAAGTCAAATTTTACATGGAATTTAGTTATGTTTACATATCACCACTCTCAACAAGAGAACATTGTTGTCCATCCTGTAGCAAATTTGAAATTGGGCATTTGGCCAAGTGTTTAAGATGCTGCTATGGACACTCACATTCCACAATGCAGATTTGAGTGCCAACTCCACTCCTGATTCAATTCCAGTTTCCTGTGAAAGCACACCCTGAAGAACACAATCTGGGATCAAGTTGGTGGGAGCTTTAGAGACATGTTGGAGACTGAGGGTATATTTATTTTTCTAAATAAAATTACTTATTTGAAAGAGAGAGAGAGAAAGAGAATCTTCCCTATCTCCAAGTCTTCCAAGCTAAAGTTACTACAAATGTGATCTGCTCTGTACATATGCTTATTGTGAACATGACATATAATGAAGATGGGATCTATGTGTTATCTTACCAAAGAGCCTCCATCATTCAGAAAGGACAAGACCTTACCTCTCAGCCACACTCACCCAGAACATATTGCTGGCAACAGGTAACTGGAGAGAGAACAAATGAGGACGGATTGCCCCCCAATTGGCAGCTGACAGGAGAGGGGTCCTGGTGTTTCCATTTCACTGTGTCAGGACAGGGGAGAAGAAAGCGGACCTGTTTTTAGAGAGCATCAAGTCTCTTATTCTTATTGAATCTTAAATTTTCTGTGGTATTTCTTTACTTCTTATACATTTTTGGGACATTATTAGCTTCTTGTCTAGATTTTAAGTAATTCTCATAAATTTTACTAACATGTGTCCCTACTGTTATTCACTGGCATGCCTAAATTCTATGAATCATTCAAATTTTTTTTTGACAGGCAGAGTGGATAGTGAGAGACAGAGAGAAAGGTCTTCCTTTGCCATTGGTTCACCCTCCAATGGCTGCCACGGCTGGCGCACTGCGGCCGGCGCACCGCGCTGATCCGAAGCCAGGAGCCAGGTGCTTCTCCTGGTCTCCCATGGGGTGCAGGGCCCAAGCACTTGGGCCATCCTCCACTGCCTTCCCTGGCCACAGCAGAGAGCTGGCCTGGAAGAGGGGCAACCGGGACAGAATCCGGCACCCCAACCGGGACTAGAACCCGGTGTGCCGGCACCACTAGGGTGGAGGATTAGCCTATTGAGCCATGGCGTTGGCCTGAATCATTCAATTTTAATACTTACATGCTTAGCTAATTATTAATTATGCTTGTAATTGCAAAATACTAATGACAAATTAGCTAAACACAATCAAATGTCAGTCTTAAATTTGATTCATGTTATTATTTAGTTGTTTTGGAAACTATGAAGATGTTGACTACATGTATCATTATAATTTTTAAAAGTCCTGTAATAGGCAACTCCATGTTCACTAAACTGGTAAAATCCAATGCATGTGTTAAAAAACATACATAGTGATAAATTTAGAAAAGCTGTTAAGTCTATGAGTTGCTGTCAAAGAGCTGAAAAACCTACAATGACTAACTATGTCATTAATTTAATATATAATGTTGAGAAAAGTATTTGTTAAAATTTCTGCTACAATGCACTAGATTTATTATTTCCAGAATGTATCTTTCCAATGTGTACTGTAGTCCTGTGCAAGATTTTAGTACCAGAATTTATAAAATGTGAAAGGTTTTCTCTTTTGTTTTTTAAAGATTTAGTTATTTATTTGAGAGGCAGAGTTACAGACACAGAGATGAAGAGAGAGAGAACAGAGGTCTTCTACCCACTGATTCACTCCCCAAATGGCCACAACAGTTGGAGGTGGGCTGATCTGACCTAGGAGCTAGGAGGTTCCTCTGCGCTCCCACATGGATGCAGGAGCCCAGACACTTGAGCCATATTCCAATTATTTCCCAGACCATTAGCAAAGAGCTGGATCAGAAGTACAATTGCAGGGACATGAACTGGTGCCCATATGTGACACCAGTGCTACAGGTGGCGGCTTAACTTAGGTCACAGCATTGGCCTAGGAAAAGGTTTTAGGAAGGCATCCTTCATGTAGACTAGTGTGTAATAATGTAAGATAAGATTTAGGTTTTATTTCCCATACATCATTATTTATTCTTTAGCAACTATGAACACTGAATATAATATATATATGTATATACTATGGAACTGTAGATTTTGTTTTCATTCCTTCTAATTTGCTTCTTAATGTCTGCTAATAAGACAATCTTATGGATTATTGTATTGATGCTACCTGTACACAGCCATCAGGCATTTCCTCTGCAGTATGTGTTCATGTATACAAGTTTTTCTGTGTTTGTATAGGTACATGCATGTACAGCTTTTCATGAGATAGTATTGAAAGTAATACTGTGAAAAAGCCTAACATGAATTTCAAATTCTCTGTCCCCTCCAGAAATGGCTGTCTATGATGCAAAGCATAGGGCCCTTTTATGGTCATGGACTGAAATGTGCCTCCTTAAAAACTCATACCTTGAAGTGCTAACAACTAATGCAACTCTAAGACAAAGTGCTTTAAAGCAAATCAAGTGATATCATATGTGTGAGTCCCATCAGGAGAATGTCATATGGAAAAATCATGCCTGTTATGATTTTGATCTTAGAATTGCAAACTCCACAGCACTGAGAAGTAAATTTTCATGATTTAAATCATATCCTCTGTGGTATTTTATTAGTAAATCAATACATCCTCATTGCTTCCACCATGTCCTGCAGTCACATAGAAGGTCTAATTATCAGAAAAATGTAGAAACTAAAAACTACAACTTCAAATGGCCAAAACATCTAGAAACCCAAGAAAGAAATCAGATAAGCAGGTATTATCCTTCTCAAAGACCCAGAAAAAACAAGAATGAGACAAATCCAAGGGCAGTAGTGAAAAGTGAATAATTACCACAACAGAAGTAAATAAGGAAGACTCTTAAGCGTATTAAAATGATCCAACATGGGAAGTGAGATACACAGCAGACCCATAGAATGGCAGGTGTCCTAACAGCACTCTGGCCTCAGAATCAGCCCTTAAGGCACATGGATCTAGCTGAAAAGCCCATGAGAGTATTACAGGCATGGAAAGCCAAGACACTCTGGCAAAAAAAAAAAAAATATATCTAAATGAAAGATCTCCGGAGTGAGATCCCAGTGGAAAGAACAGGTCATCAAAGAAGGAGGTGCCTTTCTCTGAAGGGAGGAGAGAACTTCCACTTTGACTATGACCTTGCCTGAATATGATCAGGGTCAGTGAACTCAAAAGGCTTCCATAGCCTTGGCAACTCATGACAAGAGCCTAGGGTGATTACTGATGCCATAAACAAGAGTGTCAATTTGTTAAGTCAACAACAGGAGTCACTGTGCACTTACTCCTCATGGAGGATCTCTGTCCTTAATGTGCTGTACATTGTGATTTAATGCTATAACTAGTACTCAAACAGTATTTTTCACTTTGTCTTTCTATGTGGATGCAAACTGTTGAACCTTTACTTAATATATACTAAACTGATCTTCTGTATATAAAGAGAATTGAAAATGAATCTTGATGTGAATGGAAGGGGAGAGGGAGCGGGAAAGGGGAGGGTTGTGGGTGGGAGGGAAGTTATGGAGGGGAAGCCATTGTAATCCATAAGCTGTACTTTGGAAATTTATATTCATTAAATAAAAGTTAAAAAAAAAGAAAACATTTTAGATAAATGATGATATAGTTATATGACAAAATGTTATGCAATCTTTAAATACAACATTATAATAATACATTATGATGTGGAAAGATATTCTGATGTATTTATGAAAGCAGAAACAATTCAAAAATATTTTGTACAGTGTAACATTGTTTATGATAAAATATACATTTAAAAAAACCAAAAGAATAATATAAAATGTTATCAGTGGATATCTTTGGGTGATAGGATTGAAGTGATTTTTATGTATTTATTTGCGCTTATCTGTACTTTTCAAATTTTCTGCATGAAATACTTTTGTAATAAGAGAAGCACACTAAAAGCATTCTAAATTAAAAAAAAGATAAAACTGAAGAGCTGATTCTTTGAAAAGAAAGAATAATTCTCTAGCTAGGCAAACAAAAATAGGAAATAATTCAAATGAATGAAATCAAAGAGAAGAACGGTATCTATTCAAACAGGAAAATAAGAATTCAAATTTATATTTCTTGTTATAGATAATATAGGTCTATTAGGAGATTGGAGAACTGGAACTGATAAATGGATTCAGTAAAATTGGCAATACAATATAAAAAAATCAGTAGGACTTTTGTACATAACATTGAACTCACTGGAAAAAATTATAAGAATATATTTACAATTATGACAAGAACATAAAATATCTTACAATAAATTCAACTAAGGATTTGAAAGCCTCCTACAATAAAATCACAAAGCAATGATGAAAGAAATTAAATATATAACAATTGGAAAGATGTCCCATGTTCCAATATTGAAAAAACTTGTATTATTGAAATTTTTATACTGTCCAATATAATGTATGCTTTTGATGCAATTATCATCAAAGCATCAATGAAATCCTTCATAGAGGGCTTAGCACCATGGTACAATGTGTTAAACTACCACTTGCAATGCCAATATCCCATAACAAAACAAGTGTTCAAGCCCTGACAGCTATACTTTTATCCAACACCCTGTTGATATGCTTGGAAAAGCAGCAAAAGATGACCCAACTTCCTGGATACCTGCCAACAATGTGGGAGATCTAGGTGGAGTTCCAGATCCTGGATTTGACCTGGCTCAACCCCAGTAATTGTTGCTATTTGGGAAGTGAAATAGCAGATGCAAGAACACTTTTACTGGCGCCGGCAAACTGGTTCTAGTCCCGGTCGGGGCACCAGATTCTGTCCCAGTTGCCCCTCTTCCAGTCCAGCTCTCTGCTGTGGCCAGGGAGTACAGTGGAGGATGGCCCAAGTGCTTGGGCCCTGCACCCGCATGGGAGACCAGAAGCATCTGGCTCCTGGCTTCAGATCAGCGCGGTACGCCGGCCACGGCGGCCATTGGGAGGTGAACCAAAGGAAAAAGGAAGACCTTTCTCTCTGTCTCGCTCTCTCACTGTCCACTCTGCCTGTCAAAAACTAAAAAAAAAAAGAACACTTTTACTATATCTCTGTCACTCTGCCTTTCAAATAAATAAATCTTTTTAAAAAGAAAATAAATTCTTCACAGAAGTAGAAAAGCAAACTAAAAATTCATTTGAAACCAGAAAACCCTCAAATGGTCAAAGCAATCTTCAAAAACATAATAAATCTGAAGGAATTACAATATCTGATTTCAAGACATATTACAGAAACATGAAAGCACTGGCATAAAAACAGACACATAGTTCAGTGTAGTAGAATAGACAGCCAAGAAATAAACCCACATTTCCACAGGCAACTCATCTTTAACAAAGGAATCAAAATGCCCTGGAAAAAGAATTTCTTTAGCAAGTAGTAAAAAACCTGATTATCCATATACGGAAGGCTGAAAATATACCCCCATACCTCTTACATTATATAAAAGTCAACTTATGGTGAGTTAAAAATCTAAATATAATACCATGAGATTCCAAGTTGGCAGAATAGGTAGGGAGCTTACTGCTCTAGTCTAGGGGAAGAAAGTTTAAGAAAAGTAGAGAGAGTACAATCTCAGGGAAGAGTTAAGAAGAAAATTACAACAGCTTGTATCCACAAGCCCAGCAACCAGCTGAGAGGAGGAACCTGAGTCTGGCTGGGAGGACTGACAGGGGATT